ACAGTCCACCTCTGCTTGCTGGTGGTAAATATGGGGGGTCAGTTGGTCACCTCCTTTGTGTTTGTTGCGGCTCTGATGATGAGACGGGGACCGAGTCTTTGAACCTTTGCATTAGTGATGAGCTTTCTCCTCTCTTTATCTCTCTTCACCATATTTTACAACTGGGCAAACCTCTCTGAGCCTCTCTTGTTAAACGCTGGTCCCATCCGCCCACACAGGTATGGGCATGTGTCCACATGTGCACGTTGACGCTCAAACACACACCCTGAGGCACATGTTTTGAACACGCACGTAAGCATAACGCCATAGCCACCCCTACCTCACACACACACACACACCAGAGTGCATTATAAATGGATCTTGCCCTGTTTGTATGTCTTTCTCTGTTGTCCTCTTCACTTCCTCTCATCATCTACCGCTCCATTTAATGCAGTGACATCATTGTGCTCTGTGAACAGAAGTTGATGGTCCAATGCTTTTGCAAAGGCCATGCCCGGAGAAAACAAGGCAGGTGTTTCTTGTGCTAGCAAAGAAGACGTCATGTGCAACCAGCAGAGACCTCTCAGTCATTGCTGCATTAACACGGCCAGTCCGTGATTAGAGGGAGGAAAGAGTATGACGTATAGCGTTTTAATGCCAGTGAGATAATGTCTCACCCAGAGATAAACGAGTTAAATAAAAGGGGGAGCCATCAAATGAAAAACAAATTCTATATGAAGATTTTAAATTTGTCTGTACTACAGCTAAATATTTTTTGTCCTCCTTGTGGAAATAATTGCCGCCGACAACAATAGATCTTCCTCGTAATGTCATTTCTAATCTCCAAATAAAAAAATAAAAAAACAGAGCAAATGTAATACTGCAGTAAATGAATAGAGCTGTGCTGTGATCGCCTTTTCTTTAGCGTGCCAAAGAGGAAACGACCATAACAAGGTTGACGGTATCTGTGTGTGCTGGGGGTCGTTTTGTGAGGTGACTAATTGCCCTGTTCTTCATCCTCCTGAGATGGACGAGAACACTCACCCCTCTGCTGCTTTAAGCTTCTGGCTGTGTGTCAGGATTACCCAGGATGCTTCTTGAGTCTCTTATTCCTTCAATGAGATCTCATCTCATCTCGGATGTTACCTGGCATGCCCGTGCATTACAGCCGCAGCCTGCACGGGCCACTTTATCATTCCCTGCACCTTGGCTTTGCTTGTGGTGGTAATAGAAAACACTTCATCACAGTTGTCCGCCTTGCGCAGGCCTCTCCGCTCATTTATGGGACTTTGGGATGCTAACATGTCAGCTGATATTTAACAATGACTCTCGCTATACCTGCCTCCTCCCTGAAAGATGGTAAAGCTGCTTATTCATTTGAGCGGCCTGAGAAGATCTAACTAATGGCCTTAGCTGTCAGAGATAAATTCCACCATCGGGCACAGGGCCCTGCCGCTGCTGCGGCTGGCAGCATGTATCTCTTAAGACGCTCTGTCTCAAGCATGCCCTCGGTATCATCTCACACTGGCTGCACCGAGTGTTCGATGACGCAGCAGCCCACGTTGAGTCACGACTCGTCTCTTATCTCTGGGATCGCAGGTTGTTTATCATGTGCGGAGCATACCAGCGTTTACGCAGGCCAGCCGATCTGTCCGGCTGAGTATGTGTCGCGTTACTCACAGGTCTTGACACTGGCTCAAGGCTCGCCGTCGCTCCCACACCACCAAACTCTCTATCCTTGAGGCATCACTCCAGTTAGTCATAGTGGAGTGAGACGACAGCCATAGCCATGACATGCAGGGAATCGACAGACTAATTCAAGATGGCTGCCTCACACTCGGCAATCATAGATGACACACTCGGAGCCAATAGGAAGTGTTTTTGAAAACCTCTGCGGTGGTTTTTCTAGCGAAGTCCTCTCTTCACCTTCTATTTCTTTCTTCCTCATCTGTCTATCATACGTCTGTCTGTTGGTTTCACTGCAGGGATTCAGCAGTAAATATTAACTATATCTGTAATGTACGAGGTAAAAGAAGTCTTTTTCTCTAAATTGCACACTGGAAGCCATGATTTATTTATACATAATGCTATTTTAAGATGTAAATAGGCAAATGTACAGTATCGTATGTTTTTCTTAGCTCATTAAAAGTTGATGGTTTGGAGATAAATGGTTCTCAAAGCATAGCGACGATACCCAAGTCATTTACGTTTCCAGAGCCCAAGATCACAGATTTGTGTCAGAGTCTTTGCAACATATGACACCTTCTATCTTTAGATCATCCATTTGCAAAACCCTTGAGCAGGAACTACACAGTTACAAAACAACAAACATGGACTGCAGTTTATTGTTCGAGGAGCACAAATTTAAGTCCTAATATCATCTGGTGGTCTGGCAATTAGAGACTAGTCTAATAAACGGATGGACTCTAGTTTGAACCCCAGAGCAGCCATGTGTTATGTAAAACTGCTCAGACTAACGGTCATTAAAACCAGGTGCATTACACACTGTACAGTCGAGATGCCAAGAACAATGAAAAACGACTCAGAGGCGCATACCTAAGTATCTTTAAGAATAGTGATTATAGAAACACATGTGACTTAACTTTCAGCGTAGATGATTCTGTGCTGAGATAATAGGCTAATCTCTGTACCTGTGTGTAATTAATTTTGGTTCACTTCACAGTACAACACATTTTCTATCTTCCTCCTCTTTTCAATTGAACCCTTTTTGATCTATTCTGTGTTGGCGCACCTGCTCTTTTTAGATATCTCTCCCACTCGGTCCGGTTTCTCTTTCTCACACACTGTGCACACTATCAGTTTCTCTCTCTCTCTCTTTTCTCTCACGCACACACACACACACACACACACACACACACACACACACACGCACGCATACTTGCACATCTCTCAGCTTCGCCCTGGTTGGTTTTCTCTTTCTCTGTAATTACAGGCTTCTTATCTACTTCCTATGTTACGTGCTGCAGCCATTGGCCTCCTCCATGTTTCCTCCTCTACCATTTTAGTGTCACTGATCATTCCGCTGCTTCTCCCTCCAGGAGCCATCAGGACAGAGACGCACAATATGCTTTAACATGGCTGGACTGGCCACGTTTGACAGCTGTATGGGACAAATCCAAGGGGCACTAAATTCTGATGGCAGTTTTTGCTAGAAAGAGGCCGTTCGAATGAAATATTGTGACATCGATATGGTTGTGTGTGTGTGTGTGTGTGTGTGTGTGTGTCTGTAAGAGAGAGAGGGGGGGGGGGGGGGGGGG